ATTCACGAACACACACCACACCTAAGGAGAATTTAGAGAAGCCAATTAACCTAACATTCATGTTTTTTTGGACGAAACCGGAGTCCCCGGAGAAAACCATAGCATGCACAGAGAGAACATGCAACAAACATGCAGAAAGACCCGGGCTGGGAATCAAACCCAGAACCTTTGTACTATAAGGCAGCAGTGCTACCCACTGCGCCACTGCGACACATTCCATCGCAGGGAAACACAGAGACAAACAGGACAAACAACCATTCACGAACACACACCACACCTAAGGAGAATTTAGAGAAGCCAATTAACCTAACATTCATGTTTTTTTGGACGAAACCGGAGTCCCCGGAGAAAACCATAGCATGCACAGAGAGAACATGCAACAAACATGCAGAAAGACCCGGGCTGGGAATCAAACCCAGAACCTTTGTACTGTAAAGCAGCAGTGCTACCCACTGCGCCACTGAGCAGCCCCGCATGTCATAGCCATTACAGGAAAAAAAAACAACAACCTCCTAATCGAAGCAGGGAAACCTCTAAAACCTGCAGGACAACGGCCCACTAGGACCGACTTTGGGGATTCCTGGTTTAAAGCCTTAAAACATTTCATATAAAATATCTTTTCATCAGAGAATCCAAAAGTATCCATTCATTTTTTCCTGGTTTGACGAAGGCCAAACCAGTTAATGTTTGAGAAACAATTAATTACTCTTTTCCAATATTTCTTGCGGGTTTTAACTTCAACCAGATGTGAGGGATCCTGGCAGCTTGTTAAGGTTGTGTTATCCTGGACATGGAGTTTGGTGTCTTCAGACTTTTTTGAGAGTTTTTCCTCAGTATTTAGTTGTTTGTCCATCATCACACACCTGGAAGTGGTTGGTGATTCCTGTTTCTGTTTGGAGAGACTAACTGATGCTGGTAATCTTTTGTGGATCAGGGGTGGGTTCAAATTGGGCTTCAATAAGGAGGAATCAACTGTAAAATTTGAATGTTCTGATAAACTTCTCCTTATTTTCTCTTTTTGATCACTTGAATGAGATGAATATTGAGATTGATAAGGTATCATCACAATAACGGGATTAAATGTTACAGTTTTAGACTTCTTTTCTTCCACCACCTTTTTGTTGGGACTGCTAGTCATTATTGTTCCCTTCTTAAGTGAACTGGTCAGTATTTTCACTTGTTGATTACCACAATCAGTTGGCTGTTGATCATTAGTCGTTGAGATAGTTGTTGATTCATCTTTCAGATCACCGGTCTCAGATGAGAATGGGGATGTTGCAATAGGTAATTCTGTGTCTA